TGAGGGTTGCGATCCCATTACCGGTCCCGGTACGGGCGCGACACTGAGGGTTGCGATCCGTTGCCGGTCATGAAAAAAGACAAAAAGGTAAAAAAAAAAAAAAATAAAATAAAAGAGATAATAGGAGAGCTTTTTGGTTTTTTAAATTTTTTTTTCCTTTTTGTCTTTTTTCATGACCGGCAACGGATCGCAACCCTCAGTGTCGCGCCCGTACCGGGACCGGCTACGGGATCGCAACCCTCGGTGTTGCGCCCGCACCTCGCTCAGCCAGTGAGCCGCCGGTCTGTATGTGGGATCCGAACCCTCGGCGGGAGCGCCACTGCGCTCCCAAGCGGCGCACTGTAGTAGTGCGCCACCGGCCCAGCCCCATTGTTTTGTTTTATTTTTATTTATTTATTTCTTTACTGTTCTTCAGAAAGCCTGAAGGTATTGGTGGAAAGACTCACTGAGTTTCAAATAGGATTAGTGAAAGAAAGTAACTCCTCTAGGCATGCTAACAACAAAAAATATTTTAAAGCATCCACAAAGAAAAAAACAAGTTGTATACAAGGAATCAACAATAAGATCATCTTCAGGCTCTATAAAATAGTGTCCAGAATACCTTAAAATAATATCCACTGCATAGGAAAGAACTTGACTTAAGACTACTATACCCAACTAAGATATCTTTCATTTGTCAATATATAAGAAAAGATATTTTCAAATAAATAAAGATTCAGAAGTGTCTTACCATTTATATGCTTTTTGTGAAAATTGCCGATGAAAGTACTTTAACCAATTTTGAGGTAAAGATGGTAGCCTAAATATACATTTTTTCCCCCAGAACCCACTAACTTAAGATTTTAAAAGATGTAAGAAAAGAGAGAGGAAATAAAAATTTGGAAAATGAAAAGCTGACAGATTATTCTTTACTGACTTAGCAACCTAAGAAAGTTGAATCCTAAGCTGACAGTGGGGAAGACTGAGAAGTAGCTTATTATCACTGTAGAACCCTTCAGAAGTCTCGACCATTATTAACTCCAGGTACCTTGAGAAATTCCTAAAGGTAGGATTATTGGTCTAAAATCTTTGCAAAATTTTCTACGTATACCCTCCCTCACTCTCAGAGCAAGGTGACTTTCTCTCCCCCACCCTGGAAAAACCTTTAAGATTCCTCTCTATAGAGGATAAAAACCAGGGGATACCAGGCACAGCTGGACAGAGGATTGAGGGAACATGGACATCCTGAACGTGGTGACCTCCCTCACCCCCGAGCCCTTGTTCCCCTCTTGGTTCCCAGAATGCTGGCAGGCACTCAGGTACTGTTGGGCACAGTAGTAGAGCATCCTTCTCTGAGAAATCTAACCAGCCCTGATGAGATTACCTAAAGATTTCCCAACATAATGATCCAGCCAGACTACCCCACACATGATGCCAATGGTCAACAAAGGCACAGCCCACAAAGACAGCATGTGCATGGCTCAGAACCAGGACATCTATCAGCATTATTTAATAAAATGCTACATTTGACTATTTAGAATAGATATAGAACTAAAACCACTTAGGGAGAACACAGATCAGGCATCTTAAAAACTGGGTCATGCAAAGGAGGGTGACTAACAGCATGAGGTTTTATAGTGGTATATCATAAATCTTGTGGGTGCTGCTTCTACCTGGTTTTGACCTCCAGTAACTACTGGCATAATGAGAAAGGAGGGGAGATAATAAACATATTTAGGGTGTGGGGCTTTTGTTTGCAATTTTCCCCCTGAAAGGTTAGGAAGCTAAGGGTTAATTGTGAGGAAAAGGTTTTTCTCCTTTTAGTCACTGGTCCTGAGCCTATTGGACCAAAGATAGAGGTCTTGGCTTTGGGAATACAGAGGTAAAACTATGTCAAAAAACCAAAGGCTTTTTAAACCAAGAGCTGTACCTTTTTCCAGGCATATCTTCCCCAAAGAGCCACTTGCTCCTTGGTGTTGACACTGCAGTAGAGGTTGTCAGCTTTAATGCTGTGAAGGTTCCAAGAGCTGGGTTGGAGAAAGCCATAGAACTCCACCTAGGCTATGGTTGTACTTGTAATATTAGAAGTGACTTGTTCCTGTTGCAGACGTCCTGCTGCTAGCGTGCCTGAGGCTGCACTTTTCTTGTGCACTAGTCTGCAGGTTCTCGATCTTTCTGCCTCCACATGATCTGTGCTCCACACATACCCAGGATCACACTCATCAGTCTTCTCAGTCAGGGTTGGGGCAGAGGTGGCAACAAATGTCATTGTTGCTCTTGGCTAGTTTATATTCACCCTTGCAAAAAGGGGTAGGAAGAATCTGAAAGCATTTAAATACGTACTGTGCCCCAAAGTTCTAGGTGCTTAGAATTCATCAGTAAACAGAAAAATCTGCTGCCCTCATGGGACTTACATTCCAGTGGGTTAGCAGTCAGTATGCATTCTCAGCTCCCCTCATGGCAACTAGGCTGGGTTTTATAGAGGAGGACCTGGTCAGAAGGTGAAGGAAGTATGTTTGCCTTAGCTTATTAGCCTAGAGCTGAGAATGGAAAGCATGTGTATCTAACTTAACCCCAAACTAGCACACTGTTCAAAGGGAGTCCAAGGTCAGAGCCAAGGCAGACACACTGTACTGGGTATCAGGCTACAGGGGAACACACAAGAGTCAAGGCCACTGTGGTCCGTGATCAGGGGTAGCCTTATGCTAAACCATTATAAGAAGAATAGGTCAGTTATGATCATATTCCTTATACACAGCCTATTGGACCTCAGTGCCCCCCTTTTAAGTGAGATATCAATAAAAGGGTTAAAGTTGATATCGGTTTGCCTGTGAGATTTGTTGAGTGATGGTCAATTTTATTTGGGAGCCTCCATTCTCAATATTGCCTGAGTCAGTATGCTAACAGTTGGTTAGACCAGATGACATACTGATTGGGCATCTTGTAGTTAAAAGGTTTTCATAATGTGTTGCCTTGTCCCTTGCTTATGGTATGTACTGTGCATATGTGTCTAAGGAAGAGACTTGTAGAGTATTTTGACGATGAACCACCATGAGATGTACATTTTACATTCTTAGTATACATATATACTCACAAACATACACAACATTTTCATGAAAAATACTGTGTTCAAAGTGCTCTGATAATTTGTCTTGCTGGGCATGACCCACTAAACTTGTTTCATGAACTACTAAATGGTTTCTTTACACAGTTTGATAAACATGAGTCTACAGCAGTTGTGTTCAACACGAGATCTGATGACTTGCAGCATCCCCCTGGAGCTTGTTTGAAATGTGTATTATTGCACGCCCCCCACCCCCAATACCTTTTACCAGCTAGTCTCTGCAGGTGGAGCATAGGAATTGGGGCTCTAATCCAGGTGGTTCTGATGGTCAGTGAAGCTTGAGAAGCACCAATCTTCTTTGTGCTCCAAAGAGCTTTTGTGAATATATCTATTGATATTTGCCACATGATAAATTAAAACTAAGAAATTTAAAAATACTTATTAATTCACATAAAAGTAATGATAATAAATCCATTGTGTGTTAACATCAGAGCAATGATATCATCATGCATACCTTAGATCTGGGAACCTCCGTTGTGTACTCCTCAGAAAGTGAGAGTTTAAAAAAGCAAATAAATCTTAATAACATTATGAAAATTGTTTTGACCTTGCGGACACCCAGAGGGCTCCTGGAATCTCTGACTCATCCATGGGGTCCACTTTGAGAACTTTTCTTCTAGACTGAATGTTTTGAGAAGACTGAGACCAAATTTCTGTAATACTTCTTATATAGGGTAATAAATTATGGAATCTTATGGAATGTTTTTGTCACTGTTTAAACATCAGGGGAAAATCATGAACTTTCCAAAGCCTATAAGAGTGTGATTTGTTAGGCCATTGAGAGGGTCTACTACTGAATTCCCACAACCAGTTGATAGATCCCACATTTGTATTAGGGTTTATGTAGTTTCTAGGTTTGTCTCAAGGCAGGATGTATTACTTGGGCTTTTCTATACCCTTCAGTTTGATGAAGCACCTCCCCATAGAAAAATGTACTGCAGATCTTCAAAGTGTTTACATTTTAATTTTAAATATTTTAGTCTTAATTATATTTTGAGTAATTTTTAGACATGTTCAGATTTCTTCATTTCTTTCAAATAAGTTTAGATAACTACCTGACTTTTTTCTTATTTGAGTTATATAAATAGCATCTTATTACTGATGATCCAGCACTCGATTGCTTCTACTGAACTATTTAATACTCTACTGTGTGTATATACTACTGTGGTAAATAAATAGTGTTAGAAATTGTGGTGAGATTACAGAGTTCTCGAGGGAAGTGTTAACCTGCACACTCTGGAATACTCGAGTCCTGCCTTGACTCACTCCCTCCTTCTTGAGTAATTGGGCTAATGGAGCAGGTTTCTCTGCTGTTCAGTGCTCCGCCACTCCAAGTGCTCTTCTTTCCCCAGGCCTCCCCAAGCTAGACCCCAGCCCCCAGGTCTAGCTATTTTATGGTAGGAAGGGAGAGAGGGAGAGAGAGATTGGTTCATTGACTGATTAGTTGATTGGGATTCAAGCCCTGACTAAATGCGTAGAAGCAAGAGCATCCTTCTTTTATTTTCTTTGAATCCTTCACAATAGAAAACATGGCCTAGGGCTGGCCTGGTGGTGCACTCAGTAGAGTGCGGCACTTGGGAGCGCGGTGGCGCTCCCGCCGAGGGTTCAGATCCCATATAGAGACCGGTCTGCTCACTGGTTGAGCGCGGTGCGGGCGCAACAGCGAGGGTTGCGATCCTGTTACCGGTCACGAAAAAAGACAAAAAGGGGAAAAAAAAAAAAAAAAAAGAAAACATGGCCTAGTCTGTCCTTGACCAGCAACACTCCTTTTCTTCGGCGATTGGAGCTTCTTGACCTTTATCCTCATTCTTCTTGACCTTTATCCTCATTCTTCTGAGAAGAAAGTTGGGGATGGGGAGTAATAAAGAGAAGCAGGTGAGAGAAGCCTTGAGCTTTTCCTAGAGTTCTCTGTGTGTATAGTTTTCTTACTCGTAGTTGTTTTGTTCTGTGTATCTATTTAATACCTTTTTTCCCAAATTAGACTAAACTTCCAGTGAGCAGAGTTTTTTGTCTGTTTGAGCAATCTTGCAACCCCAAACCCTGCACACCCCCGTGCCTACTACAATATTAACTTCACAGTAGATGCCTGATGAAATACTTGTTTGAATGACTCGTACTTCTTTAAGATAGAAGCACAGATGTTAGCATTATATATGTGATTGATTGATTGATTGATTTCCCTCAGGACACGTGTTAACTGAGACTGAGAGGAACCAATTGTTGGCAATAGCATCATCATTGTTTGTGGCATCCCAATTAAGAGCTCAACATTTTCAAGAACCTTCAAGGTATGGTAGATTATTTAAAACAGAATAAATGAACAGAAAAATATTGATAATCTAACCTGCATCGGAAATAGCTAATTAAAGATCTGGCTGATCTCAATTCTAGATTTTCTTATGGGTCTTTGAAGAAGTAATAAAGTCATCACACTGTTTAAATATAGTATTGCCTATATTTTGTTCAAACAAGTCTTTTAAATTCAGAAGGAATAAAAGGATCTTGGCTTCTTTAATTTGGACGTTATTAGAGATAAGAAGATATTCTGAAATCTGATGGAAAATCTGTTCAAGTAGCTTGTATTAATTATTTCTCTTTTGGGGCCGGCCCAGTGGCGCACTGCGCTAGTGCGCCGCTTGGGAAGCGCGGAGGCGCTCCCGCCGAGGGTTCGGATCCCACATACAGACCGGTTCCCGCTCACTGGCTGAGCGGGGTGCGGGGGCAACACCGAGGGTTGCGATCCCGTTGCCGGTCCCGGTCCGGTATGGGGGCGACACTGAGGGTTGCGATCCGTTGCCGGACACGGAAAAAGACAAAAGACAAAAAAAAAAAAAAATAATAATTATTTCTCTTTTGTTACTTTGTTAGTCTTGAAAATAGTTTTGAGATGTGTTATAGTACTAAATTTAGGAATGAATCTGGACAGTTAAAAAATATATATATCAGAAGCCAGTTTATAAGACACAGGAAGAAATTAACACCAGGTTGACTTAGTTATTTGTGAGCCATAAGTATACCTTTTAGCTTCCTACTAACCCAGACAAAAGAGGAAACATGCTTTATACCAGGGTATATAAAAACAAAACCTCTATGACACTGATGCTTCTAGTGACAGGATTATTTATTTGAATTTGTGTGTACTTGCCAGAGTAATCCTTGTAAGGGAGTCATGATGTTGATAAAATTGTGTTACTTCAATTTTTTTCCTTTCTTTTTGCTTTTCCACAAGAAAAAGAACAAAGATAAAAAAAAAAAGATGAAAGGTAGCCAAGTAGCTCTGAAAAGCATTAATCAGAAGCTCAAATTACCCCTGAAGAATTAGGTAGAAGAGAAACTAAATTGAGTTTAGGCTATATCCTAAAGGTTAATGTAGATTTACTCAGAAAATCTCAGAGTAACTAATAATCTTCATTTGTTCTGTTTCTCAAGGGAAAATATAGGAAGTTTAGTGTACAATCTTTTTTTTTTTAAAGTTATGATTCGGTTGACATCTAAGGATAGATGAGAAGATATAGAGTATCATCAGTACATCACTGAATGGCTGGAAAGAGAAGGAAAATGGTCAGTAGAACCATGAATATGGTTGTTATTTGTTTTCTCCCCCTACAGTTGTGCTGTTTGGTATGGTAGCCCCTAGCCACATGTGGCTATTAAAATTAAATTAAATTGAAAAACCAGTTTCTCAGTCACTCTAGCCTCATTTCAAGTGCTCAGTAGCTACATGTGCTTAGTGGCTACTGTGTTGGGCAACACTAAGAACCTTTTCCCATCGTGACAGTTCTATTTCCGTCAAGTTCTGTTGGACAGTACTGTTCCAGAGGGATGTATGTATGGCAGACATCCTAGCTTTTGTTTTAAAACTAAATTTCATATCTCATATTATTTTTATTATTCTTTAGACAAATGCAATATTCATTTCTTAATCCTTTACCTTCAGATGTTGATTGGACCTGAACTGGGTTGATTTTAAAGAAGTGTGTGCAGTTATTCTCAGAGGGTGCTGACTTAATATCAGTCAGAATCTTAAGAGGGCTTAAAACATAAAGAGTTTGCCATCCCACAGTTATTCAGTAACCACTTTTAATATTTTGATATAGTTTCTTCAAAGTGTGTATATGTATGTATGTATTTATATACATACACGTAGCATATATACTTTACTATAATTAGAGTCATACTTGGAATATAGTTAGAATTCTGGTTTTTTTTATAAACTTATTATGTTGTGAATAATTCTTCTATTCATTAAGTAGTTTTTGAAAGCATTTATTAATTTATTTTTTTATTACAGAGAATTTAAGACATATACAAAATAAACAGAATCATATAATGAGCCCCCATGCACTCAATACCCAGCTTTAACATCCATCAAAAATCTGCCTTCCTTGTTTCATCTTTACCTTTACCCACTCTCCACTTTCCCTATTTGTTAATTTTTAAGGTAAAGTTTACATACACAAATATACACATCTTACCTATACAGTTTTAACAAAGGATGCTCTTATGTAACTCACACCCATGTATACAAATATTGAATATTTCCATCCTAGAAAGTTCCACCCCTCCCCACGCCCCCCCCCCCCCGCGTATGGTGCTACCTTCACTGTGATTTCTTCACATTGTTTTCTAGTTAAGGGTTTGGCAAACTTTTGCCTAAAGGATTGGATAAAAAATATTTTAGACTTGCAGTTCGTGTGGTCTTTGTCGTAACTACTCTGTCACTGTAGCACGAAAGTCGCCACAGACAATATGTAAGGGCTGAGGGTGCCTATGTTCCAAGAAAACTTTATTTAAGAGTCTGTGGGCCATTGCTTTTCAGCCCTTGTTCTATGTCATGAATGCTCTCTGTAGCTGTGCTTAATATAATGGTTAATCTATTTTGCTTCTCATTTCAATTATTATATTTTTCATCTATAAGATGTCAATTTTTTCTTTTTTTTTTCTGCTTGGTTGCTTGTTATAGTCTTCTGTTCCTTTAAAAAAATTTAGTTCTGTCTTTTATTTATTTATATTTATATATATATAATTTATATATATAATTATATAATTCTTTATATATATAATATAAATATAAAGAAATATTTATGTATTTCTTTAAATATATTGTGTTCTATTTTATATTCTATATCTGATGATTTAAATATTCAAGTCTTTGTCAGTGTGATTCTGTAGTTTGTTTTTCTACTGACTCTCACTCAGAAATGAGGTCCATGTCATAATGATATAAGGGTCAATACGTGAGGAAGATATAACAATTACGAATGCATATGCCTATAACAGTGCCAAAACATGGAGGAAAACTACTCATTAAAAGGAGTAATAGACAATTCAACAATTATTGTTGAGACTTTTAATACTCCTCTTACAGTAATTGATAGAAACCTAGTCAGAAAAACAGGAAGCCTATCATTTGAAGGACACTATCAGCCAACTTGAACTAATTGACATTTATAGAATGTTCTACCCAATGAGAATTGAATACATATTCTTTTCATGTGGACGTGGGACATTTACTAAGATCAAATTATGGTTCATCAAACAAGTCTTATTGAACTTCAGAGAGTTGAAATCATGTACTTTTTCTAACCACAACAGAATTAAATTGTAAATCAAAAACAGGAAGAAATGAAGGAAATTCTAAAGTATTTGAAAATTAAGCAACACTTTGCTAAGTAACTCATGAGTCAGAGAAGAAATCACATGATAAATTTAAAGATATCTTGGAATGAATGAGAATGAAAATACAACATGTCAAAATTTGTGTTGCATCTAAGATGGTGGTGCTGTAAGGAAAATTATAACTGCTTATATTAAAACGAAGAAACGTCTGTAAACTAAGTTTCTACCTTAATAAGCTAGAAAGAGAAGATTAAATTAAACCTAAAATAAGTAGAAGGAAAGTAATAATAAAGATAGTAGCAGAAATCAGTATAATAGGAAGCAGAAAATCAATTTTAAAAAGCAAGAGAGAAGAAACAAGTTACCAAAGGAACAAAGAAGGGAACTTCACTATGGACCTTACAGAAATGAAAAGGATTATCAGAATATTGTGAACAAATTTATGCCAAAAATCAAAAATGTAAATGAAATGGAGAAATTCCTAAATAGACATAAATTATCAAAACTAATTTAGAAAATCTAAAAAATACATGATAGAATACTTTCTAACTCATCCTATGAAGCCAGCATTATTCTGACATCAAAGTTGGCCTAAAACATCGCAATAAAAGAAAACTATAGACCAGTATTCTTCATGAAGTTATAAAAATCTTTAATTGAATATTAACAAATGAAAATTTAGCAACATATAAAAATGATTACATAGTATAAACAAATAAGATTTATTTGAAAAATGCAAGGTTAACATCTGAAAATCAATTAATATTGTTCCACATTAATAAGGGACAAAAACCATCTGACCTTACATATAGATCCAGGAAAAGAATTTTGCAAAACTAGCACCAGTTTATTTCTTAGGGGAAAAAAGGCTTTTAAGAAAATAGGTAATTTATTAATTGGATAAGGGGCAAAAGCATACAGCTAACATCATACTTAGGTGAAAACTATTTTTATTTGTAATATATTTGGAAAATCTTAAGGAATCACCAAAAAGCTACTAGAATTAATTAGCAGACACAGCAAGGTTGCAGGATGCATCATCAGTATACAAGTCCATTTGATTTTCATATATTAGCAACTCTGAAAAAGAAATTACAAAAAGTTCCATTCGCAATAGGATCAAAATGAATCAAATACTTAGGAATACATTTAAGAAAAGAAATGTAAGACCTGTGCCTTGAAAACTACAAAACATTACTGAGAGAAATTTTAAAAAATCTAAATAAATTACAACATATATATAATGTTTCTTGACTGGGAAAGTCAATATTGTTAAAATGACAGTTCTCCCCAAATTAATCTATAGATTTAACACAATCTCTATGAAAAGCCCACCTGGCATCTTTGTTGAGATGGGTAAGCCAGTGTTAAAATTTATGTGGCGATGCACAAAACCTAGAATAGCCAAAACAATTTTGGAAAAGAAAAAAGTCGAGGTATTTACTCTACCTGATTTCAAAACTTACCAAAAAGCTCCATTGTATTAAGTCATTGTGATATTGGTGTAAGCATAGGCATGTAGATCAATGGAGTGGAGTAGCGAGTCCAGAGGTAGACCCTCACATATATGGCTAATTGATTTTGGACAAAAGTGCCTAGGTAGCTCAATGAGCAAAGGATAGTATATCAACACATGGTACTGGAATAATTGGATATCTGTATGCAAAAC